TTTTCGCATTTTTTCGCATTTTTTTCGCATTTTTTTTTGCATTTTTTCTTAACGATTTTTTTTATTATTTTTCCAACCTTTTTTCCTGTTTTTCCATTTTTTCTCCCATTTTCCTCCTTTTTTTCTCAGTTTCATCCCATTTTTCCATTTTTTTCTAATTTTTTTCCTATTTTTTTAAAAAATTTTTCTCTTTATTCCACTTTCCCCAATTTTCCCCCCCAAATTCCCAATTTTCCCCCAAAATTCCCAAATTTCCCCCAAAATTCCCATTTTTTCTTCATTTCCCCCTGAAAATTCCCAATTTTCCCACCCGAATTCCCATTTTTTCCTCATTTTCCCCCCAAAATTCCCAATTTTCCCCCCAAAATTCCCAATTTTCCCCATTTTCCCCCCAGAATTCCCAATTTTTCCCCCCAAAATTTCCCATTTTTTTCCTTTTTCCCCCCAAAATTCCCAAATTTTCCCCAAAATCCCCGAATTTTCCCCCCAAAATTCCCAATTTTCTGATAAAATTCTCAAACTTTCCCCCAAAATTCCCAAACTTCTCCCCAAAATTCCCAATTTTTTCCCAATTCCCCCCAAAATTCCCAATTTTCCCTCAAAATTCCCGAATTTTCCCCTAAAATTCCCAATTTTTCCCCATTTTCCCCAAATTTTCCCCCAAAATCCCCAAATTTCCCCCAAAATTCCCATTTTTTCCCCCAAAATTCCCATTTTTTCCTCATTTTTTCCCCCAAACCCCCCAAATTTCCTCCCAAAATCCCCAAATTTCTCCCAAAATTCCCAATTTCCCCCAAAAAATTCCCAAATTTTCTCCCAAAATTCCCAAATTTTCCCCAAATTCCCCCAAAATCCCCGAATTCCCCCCAAAATTCCCAAATATTCACCCAAAATTCCCGAATTTTCCCCCAAAATCCCCGTTTTTCCCCCCAAAATTCCCCTTTTTTTCGTCATTTTTCCCCCCAAACCCCCCAAATTTTCCCCCAAAATTCCCAAATTCCCCCCAAAATTCCCGTTTTTCCCCCCAAAATTCCCAAATTTTCCCGATTTTCCCGTTTTTCCCCCCAGGGCTCCTCCAACTCTTACGCCATCAAGAAGAAAGACGAGCTGGAGCGCGTGGCCAAATCCAACCGCTGAATTCCCAAAAAAACCCGGAATTCCCGGAATTCCCGGAATTCCCCAATAAAAACGTCCCAGGAATCGGATCCCAAAAAAACCCGGAGCCGGAATGTGGGGGGGATTGGGGAATTTTGGGGGGAAAATGGGAAAAAAATGGGAATTTTGGGGGGAAAAATTAAAAAAAATGGGAATTTTGGAGGAAAAAATGGGAATTTTGGGGGGAAATTTGGGAATTTTGGGGGAAAAATGAGGAAAAATTGGGAATTTTGGGGGAAAAAATGGGAGTTTTGGGGGAAAAATGAGGGAAAATTGGGAATTTTGGGGGGAAAATTGGGAATTTTGGGGGGAAAATGAGAAAAAAAAGGGAATTTTGGGGAGAAATTTGAGAATTTTTGCCAGAAAATTGGGAATTTGGGGGGAAATTTGGGAATTTATTCAGAAAAATGGGAATTTTGGGGGGAAATTTGAGAATTTGGGGGAAAAATTGGGAATTTTGGGGGGAAAACAAGGAAAAATTGGGAATTTTGAGAAGAAAATTGGGATTTTGGGGAGAAATTGGGAATTTTTGTCAGAAAATTGGGAATTTGGGGGAAAATTTGGGAATTTTCGGGGGAAATTTGGGAATTTAATCAGAAAAATGGGAGTTTTGGGGGGAAATTTGGGAATTTTGGGGGAAAAATTGGGAATTTTGGGGGAATTGAGAAAAAAATGGGAATTTTGGGGGGAAAATAAAAAAATGGGAATTTTGGGGAGAAAAATGGGAATTTTGGGGGGAAAAATTGGGAATTTTTGTCAGAAAATTGGGAATTTGGGGGGAAATTTAGGAATTTTGGGGGGAAATTGGGAAAAAATGGGAATTTTGGGGGGAAAATTGGGAATTTTGGGGGGAAAAAGAGAAAAAAATGGGGATTTTGGGGGGAAATTTGGGAATTTATTCAGAAAAATGGGAATTTTGGGGGGAAATTTGAGAATTTGGGGGAAAAATTGGGAATTTTGGGGGGAAAACAAGGAAAAATTGGGAATTTTGAGAAGAAAATTGGAATTTTGGGGGGAAATTGGGAATTTTTGTCAGAAAATTGGGAATTTGGGGGAAAATTTGGGAATTTTCGGGGGAAATTTGGGAATTTAATCAGAAAAATGGGAGTTTTGGGGGGAAATTTGGGAATTTTGGGGGGAAAATTGGGAAATTTGGGGGAAAGTTTGGGAATTTTATCAGAAAATTAGGAATTTGGGGGGAAATTTGGGAATTTAATCAGAAAAACGGGAGTTTTGGGGGGAATTTGGGAATTTTGGGGGAAAAATTGGGAATTTTGGGGGAATTGAGAAAAAAATGGGAATTTTGGGGGGAAAATTGGGAATTTTGGGGAGAAGTTTGGGAATTTTGGGGGAGAAATTGGGAATTTTATCAGAAAATTGGGAATTTGGGGGGAAAATTGGGAATTTTGGGGGAATTGAGAACAAAATGGGAATTTTGGGGCAGAATTTGGGAATTTTGAGGAGAAATTTGGGAATTTTGGGGGGAAATTTGGGAATTTGGGGGTAAAAAGAAAAATTGGGAATTTTGAGGAGAAATCTGGGAATTTTGGGGGGAAATTGGGAAAAAATTGGGAATTTTGGGGAGAAGTTTGGGAATTTTGGGGGGAAATTGGGAATTTTTGTCAGAAAATTGGGAATTTGGGGGAAAATTTGGGAATTTTCGGGGGAAATTTGGGAATTTAATCAGAAAAATGGGAGTTTTGGGGGGAAATTTGGGAATTTTGGGGGGAAAATTGGGAAATTTGGGGGAAAGTTTGGGAATTTTATCAGAAAATTAGGAATTTGGGGGGAAATTTGGGAATTTAATCAGAAAAACGGGAGTTTTGGGGGGAATTTGGGAATTTTGGGGGAAAAATTGGGAATTTTGGGGGGAATTGAGGAAAAAATGGGAATTTTGGGGGAAATTTGGGAATTTTGGGGGAGATTTTTGGGAATTCTGGGTGAATTTTAGGGATTTTGTAAATTTTTTGGGAATTTTGGGGGATTTTTGGGAATTCTGGGGGGATTTTGGGGGATTTTTGGGAATTCTGGGTGAACTTTAGGAATTTTGTGGATTTTTTGTTAATTCTGGGGGGATTTTTGGGGGGATTTTGGGGATTTTTTGGGAATTCTCTGTGGATTCCTCCCTTTTCTCGCAACAATTCCATAAAAATTTCCCGGGAATCCCCTCCCCCCCTCCTCCATCCCATCCCAAACTTCCCGAAATTCCCTCCCATTCCCAAAAAAAAACCACTCGGAGCCGTTGGGAGCTGCAGGATCCCGATTTTTCCACGGGAATTTCGGGAAAACCCGGAGGCGACGACCGCGGAATTCCCGGGAATTCCCATCCCCCACCCCCCCCCGCATTTATCCCGGGTTTTTCCGGAATTCTGGGGCGGATTTTGGGGGAAAAATTGGGATTTTTGGGAATTCTGGGGGAAAAATGGGAATTTTTGGGGATTTTTGGGAATTTTTGGGAATTTTGGGGGATTTTGAGGGATTTTTGGGGGATTTTTTTTGGGATTTAGGGAAAAATTGTCGGGAATTTTTTGGGGTTTTTGGGAATTTTTTTGGGATTTCAAGGAATTTTTGGGGGATTTTTTTGGGAATTTTTTGGGGGGATTTCAGGGAAATTTTTTTGGAATTTCAGAAATTTTTGGGGGATTTTTTTTGGGTTTTAGGGAATTTTGGGGGATTTTAAGGAATTTTTTGGGATTTCAGGGAATTTTGGGGGATTTTAGGGAGTTTTGGGGAGATTTTAGGGAATTTCTGGGGGATTTTAGGGGGATTTTAGGGAATTTTTGAGGACTTTAAGGAATTTTTTGGGATTTTAGGGAATTTTGGGGGATTTTAAGGAATTTTTGGAGGGATTTTGGGGAATTTTTTTGGGATTTCAGGGAATTTTTGGGGGAATTTAAGGGAATTTGGGATTTTTTTGGGATTTTTTTTGGATTTTAAGGAATTTTTGGGGATTTCAGGGAATTTCTTTGGGATTTTAGGGAATTTTTTTGGATTTTGGGGGGATTTCAGGGAATTTTTTGGGATTCCAGGAAATTTTGGGGGATTTCAGGGAATTCTGGGGGATTTTAAGGAATTTTTTTGGATTTTAGGGAATTTTTTGGGATTTCAGGGAAATTTTTTGGGATTTTTGGGAATTTTTTGGGGATTTCAGGGATTTTTTGGGGATTTTTTTGGGATTTCAGGGAATTTTTGGGGGCTTTTAAGGGATTCTTTAGGATTTTAGGGAATTCTTTGGAATTTGGGGGGGATTTCAGGGAATTTTGGGGTTTTTAGGGAGTTTTTTTGGGATTTTAGGGAATTTTTGGGGATTTTAAGGAATTTTTGGAGGGATTTTGGGGAATTTTTTTTGGATTTCAGGGAATTTTTGGGGGATTTTTGGGAATTTCAGGGAACTGGGGATTTTTTGGGAATTTTTTGGGGATTTTAGGGAATTTTTTGGGATTTTGGGGGGATTCCAGGGAATTTTTTGGAATTCCAGGAAATTGTGGGGGATTTCAGGGAATTTTTGGGGATTTTAAGGAATTTTTTTGGATTTTAGGGAATTTTTTGGGATTTCAGGAAAATTTTTGGGGATTTTTGGGAATTTTTGGGGGATTTCAGGGATTTTTTTGGGATTTTTTTGGGATTTCAGGGAATTTTTGGGGGCTTTTAAGGAATTCTTTAGGTTTTTAGGGAATTCTTTGGGATTTTGGGGGGATTTCAGGGAATTTTTTGGGATTTTAAGGAATTTTTTTTGATTTTAAGGAATTTTTTTGGATTTCAGGGAATTTCTTTGGGATTTTAGGGAATTTTTTGGGATTTTGGGGGATTTCAGGGAATTTTGGGGTTTTTAGGGAGTTTTTTTGGGATTTTAGGGAATTTTTTGGGATTTTAGGGAATTATTTGGGATTTTTGGGAATTTTTTTGGATTTTGGGGGATTTCAGGGAATTTTCTGGGAATTCCATGGGACTTTTTTGGGGGACAACTCCGGGAAAAACGGGAATTCCAGAGAATCCACGGAATTCTTCCCCTCCCTCCTTTCCCCACCCAAAATTCCAGAGGCAGAAAAATCCCAAATCCATGAAAATTCCACCCAAACCCATCCCCCGAGCCCTTTTCCAGAACATTCCCGGTTTTTTTATCGGGAATTCCGATTTTTCCCGCTTTTTTTGGGGGGGAGGGGCCGGAATTCCACAAAATCCACGGAATTCTCGGAGGGAAAAAACCGGGAATTTCATCGGAATTCTGGGAATTTCCCCCGGGAATTCCGGGAATTTTTCTCTGGGATTTCTGGGAATTTTTCTGCCAGAATTCCAGAGGTTTTCTGCACAAATTCCGGGATTTTTTTCCATGGGAATTCCAGGATTTTTTTCGCATGAATTCCAAGAATTTTTCTGTGGGAATTCCAGGAATTTTTCCTCATTAATTCCATGATTTTTTCTATGGAAATTCCAGCAATTTTTCCATGGGAATTCCAGGAATTTTTTTCTCATTAATTCCAAGGATTTTTCCACACGAATTCCTTGAATTTTTCCATGGAAATTCCAGGAATTTCCCACCTGAATTCCACGATTTTTCCATAGGAATTCCCGGAATTTTTCCACGCGAATTCCAGGAATTTTTTTGTGTAAATTCCAGGAAATTTCCCACCTGAATTCCAAGATTTTTCCCATGGGAATTCCGGGAATTTCTCCCATGAATTCCATGAATTTTTCCGCTTAAATTCCAGAATTTTTTCCATGGAAATTCCAAGAATTTCCCACCTGAATTCCGCATTTTTTCCATGGGAATTCCATGAATTTTTCCAATTCCAGGAGTTTTTTCACGTGAATTCCAAGAAATTTCCCGCCTGAATTCCACGATTTTTCCGTGGAAATTCCAGGAATTTTTCCGTGGGAATTCCAAGAATTTTTCCGCTTAAATTCCAAGAATTTTCCTACGTGAATTCCAGAATTTTTTTTTGTGTAAATTCCAAGAAATTTCCCGCCTGAATTCCACAATTTTTCCGTGGAAATTCCCGGAATTTTTCCGCTTCAATCCCAAGAATTTTCCCGCTTCAATTCCAAGATTTTTTTTTCCCCCCTTAAATTCCAAGACTTTTCCCGCCTAAATTCCAGGAATTTCCCCTCTTCAACTCCCACACCCCCCTCCCCGTTAATTTTTTCCCGCCAAAACTCTTATTTTCCCGCCAAAACTCCCGTTTTCCTGCCAAAACTCCCGTTTTCCCGCCAAAACCCCCGTTTTTCCCGCAAAAACTCTTATTTTCCCACCAAAACTACAATTTTCCCGCCAGAACTCCAATTTTCCCGCCAAAACTCCCGTTTCCCGCCAAAACTCCAATTTTCCCGCCAAAACCCCCGTTTTCCCGCCAAAACTCCCGTTTTTCCCGCCAAAACTCCCGTTTTCCCGCCAAAACTCCCGTTTTTCCCGCCAAAACCCCCCCCGTTTTTCCCGCCGAAACCCGTCACTTGTAGAGCAGGTGGACGCGGCTCCCGTCGCAATTCCCGCGTCCGAGTTTTTCCGCCTGTTCCGACACCAGGCAGCGAACCAGGCTGGGCTGGGGGAAGGAATCCCGGGAATCGGCTTGGGAATGGCGGGAATCGCGCTGGGAGTCGCGGGAATCGCGCTGGGAGTCGCGGGAATGGCGGCGGCGGGAGCGGAGCTGGAGTTGTTGGCGGGCCTGGAGCTGCTGGCGGAGCTCGGAGACGCGTTCTTCCTTCTGGGAATGGGGAGAAAGGGGGGAAATTGGGAAAAGTGGGAAAAAATACGGGAAAAGGGGGGAAAACGTCGGAATAAGCGGGAAAATGACAGAAAAAGTGGGAATAACACAGGAAAAGTGGGGAAACAACAGAAAAAAACGGGAATAACACAATAAAAACCAGGAATAACACAGAAAAAGTGGGAAAAACACAGAAAAAAGTGGGAATAACACAGGAAAAAGTGGGAATAACACAGGAAATGTGGGAATAACACAGAAAATGTGGGGAAAACAGAAAAAAGTGGGAATGACACAGAAAATGTGGGAAAAACAGACAAAAAAATGGGAAAAACAACAGGAAAAGTGGGAATAACACAGAAAAAATGGGAAAACCACAGAAAAAAATGGGAAAAACACAGAAAAAGTGGGGAAAACACAGAAAAAAGTGGGAATGACACAGAAAATGTGGGAAAAACAGACAAAAAATGGGAAAAACACAGGAAAAAATGGGAATAACACAATAAAAAGTGGGAATAACACAGAAAAAAGTGGGAAAAACAGACAAAAAAATGGGAAAACAACAGAAAAAAATGGGAAAACCAGAAAAAAGGAATAACACGGAAAAAAATGGTAATTACACCGAAAAAGTGGGGAAAACACAGAAAAAAGTGGGAAAAGCACCAGAAAAAAGTGGGAATAACACAGGGAAACTGGGAATAACACAGAAAATGTGGGGAAAACAGACAAAAAATGGGAAAAACACCAGGAAAAGTGGGAATAACACTCAAAAAAAGTGGGAATAACACAGAAAATGTGGGAATAACACAAGAAAAAGCAGGAAAAACACAGAAAAAGTGGGAAAACAACAGGAAAAGTGGGAATAACACAGGAAAAAATGGGAAAACCACAGAAAAAAATGGGAAAAACACAGAAAAAAACCAGGAATAACACAGAAAAAAATGGGAATAACACGGAAAAAGTGGGAAAAACACCAGAAAAAAGTGGGAATGACACAGAAATAGTGGGAATAATGCAGAAAAAGTGGGGAAAACACAGAAAAAATGGGAAAACAACAGAAAAAAATGGGAAAACCAGAAAAAAACCAGGAATAACACAGAAAAAAATGGGAATAACACAGAAAAAGTGGGAAAAACACCAGAAAAAAGTGGGAATGACACAGAAAATGTGGGAAAAACAGACAAAAAAATGGGAAAACAACAGAAAAAAGCGGGAAAATCACAAAAAAAAGTAGAAATTACACAGAAAAAAGCAGGAAAAACACAGAAAAAATGGGAAAAACAGAGAAAAAAATGGGAAAAGCACCAGAAAAAAGTGGGAATAACACAGGAAATGTGGGAATAACACAAGAAAAAGCAGGAAAAACACAGAAAAAGTGGGAAAACAACAGGAAAAGTGGGAATAACACAGGAAAAAATGGGAAAACCACAGAAAAAAATGGGAAAAACACAGAAAAAAACCAGGAATAACAATAAAAAAAAGTGGGAATGACACAGAAATAGTGGGAATAATGCAGAAAAAAGCAGGAAAAACACAGAAAAAATGGGAAAAACAGAGAAAAAAATGGGAAAAGCACCAGAAAAAAGTGGGAATAACACAGGAAATGTGGAAAAAAAAGACAAAAAAATGGGAAAAACGCGAGAAAAAAATGGGAATAACACAGAAAAAGTGGGGAAAACAGAAAAAAGTGGGAATAACACAGAAAAGACCAGGAATAACAGAAAAAATGGGAAAACAACAGAAAAAAATGGGAAAACCAGAAAAAAAACCAGAAATAACACAAAAAAAAATGGGAATAACACAAAAAAAAGCAGGAAAAACACAGAAAAAGTGGGGAAAACACCAGGAAAAGTGGGAATAACACAGGAAAAATGGGAAAAACACAGAAAAAAATGGGAATAACACAATAAAAACTGGGAATAACACAGAAAAAAGTGGGAATAACACCAGGAAAAATGGGAATAACACAGAAAAAGTGGGAATAACACAGAAAATGTGGGAAAACCAGACAAAAAATGGGAAAAACACCAGAAAAAGTGGGAATAACACTAAAAAAAAGTGGGAATAACACAGAAAAAATGGGGAAAACACAGAAAAAAGCAGGAAAAACACAGAAAAAAATGGGAATAACACAATAAAAAGTGGGAATAACACAATAAAAAGCGGGAAAAACACAAAAAAAGTGGGAAAAAACAGGAAAAGTGGGAATAACACCAGGAAAAGTGGGGAGAACACAGAAAAAATGGGAAAACAACAGAAAAAAATGGGAAAAACACAGAAAAAATGGGAAAAACACAGAAAAAAGTGGGAATAACACTCAAAAAAAGTGGGAAAAACACAGAAAAAATGGGAAAACAACAGAAGAAAATGGGAATTATACAATAAAAACTGGGAATAACACAGGAAATGTGGGAAAAACAGACAAAAAAATGGGAAAAAACCCAGAAAAAAATGGGAAAACCAGAAAAAAACCAGGAATAACATGGAAAAAAATGGGAATAACACAGAAAAAGTGGGAATAACACTCAAAAAAAGTGGGAATAACACAGAAAAAAGCAGGAAAAACACAGAATAAAGCGGGAATAACACAGAAAAGTGGGGAATAACACAGAAAAAAATGGGAATAACACAATAAAAAAGGAATAACACAGAAAAAGTGGGAAAACAACAGGAAAAACGGGAATAACACAGAAAAAGTGGGAATAACACTAAAAAAAGTGGGAATAACACAGAGAAGAGCAGGAATAACGAAGAAAAAAATGGGAAAACCAGAAAAAAGCAGGAATAACACAGGAAAAAGTGGGAATAACACAGGAAATGTGGGAATAACACAAGAAAAAGCAGGAAAAACACAGAAAAAGTGGGAAAAACAGAGAAAAAATGGGAACAACACAGAAAAAAATGGGAAAAACACCAGAAAAAAGTGGGAATAACCCAATAAAAAAAAGTGGGAATGACACAGAAAAAAGTGGGAATAACAGAAAAAGCGGGAATGACACAGAAAAAGTGGGAATAACACTCAAAAAAGTGGGAATAACACAGAAAAAGTGGGGAAAACACAGAAAAAAATGGGAAAAACACAGGAAAAAGTGGGAATAACACAATAAAAAGCAGGAAAAACACAGAAAAAGTGGGAATAACAACAAGAAAAGTGGGAATAACACCGGGAAAGACCAGGAATAACACAGAAAAAAATGGGAAAACAACAGAAAAAAAACAGAAATAACACAGAAAAAGCAGGGAAAACAGAAAAAAGTGGAAATAACACAGGAAATGTGGGAATAACACAGAAAAAATGGGAAAAAAACAGAAAAAATGGGAATAACACAAAAAAACCCAGGAAAACACAGAAAAAAGCAGGAAAAACACAGAAAAAAGTGGGAATAACACAGGAAATGTGGGAATAACACAAGAAAAAGCAGGAAAAACACAGAAAAAGTGGGAAAAACAGAGAAAAAATGGGAACAACACAGAAAAAAATGGGAAAAACACCAGAAAAAAGTGGGAATAACCCAATTAAAAAAAGTGGGAATGACACAGAAAAAAGTGGGAATAACAGAAAAAGCGGGAATGACACAGAAAAAGTGGGAATAACACTCAAAAAAAGTGGGAATAACAGAAGAAAAATGGGAATAACACAGAAAAAAGCAGGAATAACACAAAAAAAGTGGGAATAACACAGGAAAAGTGGGAATAACACTCAAAAAAGTGGGAATAACACAGGAAAAAGCAGGAAAAACACAGAAAAACAGGAGAATAACACAGAAAAGTGGGGAATAACACAATAAAAAAGTTAACACAGAAAAGTGGGGAATAACACAATAAAAAAGTGGGAATAACACAGGAAATGTGGGAATAACACAAGAAAAAGCAGGAAAAACACAGAAAAAGTGGGAAAAACAGAGAAAAAATGGGAATAACACAGAAAAAAGTGGGAATAACACCAGGAAAAGTGGGGAGAACACAGAAAAAATGGGAAAACAACAGAAGAAAATGGGAAAAACACAGAAAAAATGGGAAAAACACAGGAAAAATGGGAATAACACAGAAAAAAATGGGAATAACGCAGAAAAAAGCAGGAAAAACACAGAAAAAGTGGGAATAACACAGAAAAACCCAGGAATAACACAGGAAAAAGCAGGAATAACACAAAAAAAGCGGGAATAACACCAAAAAAAGCAGGAATAACACAAAAAAAGCAGGAATAACACCAAAAAAAGCAGGAAAATCTCCCGGCAGCGTTCCCGTTTCCCCACCTCGGCGATGATTTTCTCCAATTCCCGATTTTCCTTCTCCAGCAGCCGGGATTTCTCCTCCTCGTTGTTGTTGGTGGAGGATCCGGTTTTCATCGTGTCCTGCTGCTCCGACTGCCACTCCCCGCGCGTGATCAGCCGCCGCATCTGCGGCGTTCCCGAAATTCCCGATCATTCCCGCTCCTCCCGAGCTTTTCCCGCTTTCCCCTGATTTTTTCCTGATTTTCCTGATTTTTCCTGATTTTTCCTGATTTTTTCCCGATTTTTCCTGATTTTTTCCCGATTTTTCCTGATTTTTTCCCGATTTTTTATGATTTTTTTTTTTTAATTTTTTCCTAATTTTTATCTGATTTTTTTCTGATTTTTCCCAATTTTTTTGGATTTTTTCCCATTTTTTTCGGATTTTTTCCCAATTTTTTTATGATTTTTTTTTTATTTTTTCATAATTTTTATCTGATTTTTCTGTGATATTTTTTGTAATTTTTTACGAATTATTTCCTGATTTTTCCTGATTTTTTCCCGATTTTTTAATGATTTTTAAATGACTTTTTTCCTAATTTTTTTCCTAATGTTTATCTGATTTTTCTGTGACTTTTTCCTAATTTTTTACGGATTTTTTCCGATTTTTTCCAGGTTTTTTCCGATTTTTTTCCTAATTTTTATCTGATTTTCCCTGATTTTTTCCCGATTTTTCCTGATTTTTTCCCGATTTTTTATGATTTTTTTTTTAATTTTTTCCTAATTTATATCTGATTTTTTTCTGATTTTTCCTAATTTTTTTATGATTTTTTTTTTATTTTTTCATAATTTTTATCTAATTTTTCTGTGATATTTTTTGTAATTTTTTACGAATTATTTCCTGATTTTTCCTGATTTTTTCCCGATTTTTTAATGATTTTTTAATGATTTTTTAATGATTTTTTTTTTATTTTTTTCCTAATTTTTATCTGATTTTCCTTGACTTTTTCCCAATTTTCCCGGATTTTTTCCGATTTTTTAAGATTTTTTCGGTTTTTTTCCTAATTTTTATCTGATTTTCCCTGACTTTTTCCCGCTTTTCCCGGATTTTTTCCCGATTTTTTATGATTTTTTTCCCGATTTTCCCTAATTTTTACCCGATTTTTCTATGATTTTTTCCTAATTTTTTACCAATTTTTTCCGATTTTTCCCAGATTTTTTTCTGATTTTTTTCCTAATTTTTATCTGATTTTCCCTGATTTTTTCCCGCTTTTCCCTGATTTTTTCCCGATTTTTTATGATTTTTTTTTTAATTTTTTCCTAATTTATATCTGATTTTTTCTGATTTTTCCCAATTTTTTTGGATTTTTTCCCCTTTTTTTTCGGATTTTTTCCCAATTTTTTTATGATTTTTTTTTTATTTTTTCATAATTTTTATCTGATTTTTCTGTGATATTTTTTGTAATTTTTTACGAATTATTTCCTGATTTTTCCTGATTTTTTCCCGATTTTTTAATGATTTTTAAATAACTTTTTTCCTAATTTTTTTCCTAATGTTTATCTGATTTTTCTGTGACTTTTTTCTAATTTTTTACGGATTTTTTCCGATTTTTTCCAGGTTTTTTCCGATTTTTTTCCTAATTTTTATCTGATTTTTCCCCGATTTTTTATGATTTTTTTTTTAATTTTTTCCTAATTTATATCTGATTTTTTTCGGATTTTTTCCCAATTTTTTTATGATTTTTTTTTTATTTTTTCATAATTTTTATCTGATTTTTCTGTGACATTTTTTGTAATTTTTTACGAATTATTTCCTAATTTTTTCCTGATTTTTTCCCGATTTTTTAATGATTTTTAAATGACTTTTTTCCTAATTTTTTTCCTAATGTTTATCTGATTTTTCTGTGACTTTTTCCTAATTTTTTACGGATTTTTTCCGATTTTTTCCAGGTTTTTTTTTGATTTTTTTCCTAATTTTTATCTGATTTTCCCTGATTTTTTCCCCGATTTTCCCTGATTTTTTCCCCGATTTTCCCTGATTTTTTCCCGATTTTTCCTGATTTTTTTTCCCGATTTTTTAATGATTTTTTTTTATTTTTTCCTAATTTTTATCTGATTT